AATCAACGATAAAGCAATGGATTTTTCCAAATCAGAAGAAAACTTCGATATACTCTTTGTACTTTTCAGGTCTTTAAGATGGTCACGACTCTTGAAATTTAACTCAAAGCAGGTTTCCGGTATCTGGAACTGCAAACATTCATCCAGCAATGGATTTTCTTCGAACATATCTGCTCTGTAAAGAAAGAATCGTAACTAAAAATGCAAAAAAATTAAAATAGCCGAGATTATCTACACATAATCCGTGGCACAAAATTCGATAAATCCTTAGCCACACATCCATAAATTCAAAAAATTAAGAGCCACAGAGAGCAACGGTAACCAAAAGAAAGACAAATGACAAACATGTAATGCTCAGCGTTGAAATTTATCTGGTCGTACAGCAAACATTCTGCGATTCGCCCTTCAATCGGTGAATTATCCGGATCAGCCAAATCGATGAGAGTACCAATTTCAGCGCTAATTTTCCCAATAACACCATGTCGGCTACAAGCAAATCCATAACCATAAAGGCGGCATTCTTCGTCCATCAAATCTGTTTCCTCGGCGGCTACTGATGTTTGGGGTTCGTGCAAAACATCTGTCACAGAATCTCAAAAGAACGCAGAAAAAATCCAATAAAATAAAACTCCTGTAACAAAAGCAAGAAAAAAATTCATACTTAAAAATAACAAAAAATAATAAAAAAATAAAACTTTCATACAACTTTTATGCCTTTAGGCGGCGGAAAAGCTGAGCTTTTGATTTTTTGGTCCAAATTTTTTTTATTTCATCTCATTCATTTATTTTATCAAAATCATACTGAAGAGGTCCAGTTACTGGATAGAAATGTTTAGACAAAATGCTGAATAGAAATGACTGGTCCAAGCAAAATTTTGGTTTAACTTCTAGAAATATTCATCAAACGGCAGCAGAGGATGTGATGAAAGAAGAAATGCACAAGAAAACCTCCTTTTTGTTAGTTTTTTTTTTTTAAATTCTTCTCTATTAACCTCTTAAAATTACATTTTTTTAGAAAATTTATTTCGTCTTACTCATTTATTTTATCAAAATCATACTGAACAGATCCAATTGCTGGATAGGAATGTCTAGTTACATAAAGCACTGCTTCCTTTTTCGCACGGCATAATTTCCTTTGGACAGGAAATCGGATAGACAAAGCACTGGTTTATTTCCCAGTTAGAAGAGTCACAGAAAGAGATATCATGATACTATGATAATACGATTTTCAGAGATATTATGATATCATGATTGTGATTTTTGGTATCTCTATTTTACGTTTACCTCGTAAAATAGCATAGAATAGAGATATCAAAAACATAAAATTACATCAAAAAATTAGATGAACAGGAATCATTCGATCCAATACGTCATAACTAATAATTAGAAATGCCTGTAGTGCCCTCTCCCTTTTTCCTATCTTTGTTTCATGGCAGTTATTATATCAACGTATTGGTTTTGATAAATGTCGCCAGTAGCACAATCAAGCAGATAACACTATACAGTATGGATTCCGCTTAATCAACAACAAAACTCCCAATCCAGAAATCGCAGCAGTAAAATTTTAGGGATTTTCAGGATCTGCTAATTCATTTAACGTGATAAATCCCTGTGAAAAATTATATAAAAGTAGAGACTTACCACTGTCATCACTGTCATTTTCGCCCACTTCCTCCACCAGACGCTTCGCATGAACTTCGGATGGCTTCAGCAGTTCATTTATCAGATCCAAGTTCGGAAAAAATTCACCTTTGTTCTTTTTTAAAGCTTTGAAAGTGAACGATCCTGAAACTCGGAATATATGATGTGATAATAACCGCACAAAACAAATTATTACGGGTAAGGAAAAAAAACCGGAAAAAATTACTTAATTACACACGAGCCTCAAAAAACCTCCCAGAACGGCTATCACACACATGAGAATGCCTGAAGCTGATCTTGCAGAAGTTTCAAAAATATTAAACTCCGAGTGCAGAGATACCTCAAAATCATGAGATGAAGGTGGCTGCAAGGCCACCAAATTCCTGATTCTACGTCAAAAGTGCACTCCTGCACTAAAATACTCAATATAACAATAATTCCCCTGATCTGGTGCCATTCGATCTCGACCGAAGTACCCGTCATGGAAAACCCGCGAAAAGCCGGCCAAGAAACTGCCACAAAGAAAAAGAGGACAAAAGACAGGTATATCTCGCACTGAAAGGCAGATACACAGTAGATGTACTGTCGGACTGAATGAATGTGGAGCACAAGGACCGATGGTGTAGTGGTAACACATTGCATTCGGACGTGAACAAGAGTGGTTCGATTCCGTCTCGAGCCACGACGGTTTTTGGAGAAAGGGCACCGTTCATAGTAGTAGCAGACTGGATAAAAAATGTCTGAAAAATTTATTTCTAAAGGGATTTTCCAATTTTCATGACAGTTCCAGACTGGTACGAAACATCTGGAAAAATTACTTCTAAAAGGAGCACCGAAAAAATACCTTTATCGCAATCATAAGTTCCCGAAATCGGTTCGGCATCGTCCAGTTCGCCGGGTAAATACAGTTTCAGGTAGTACGGTTTTGACGAGAAATAGAACTGTCGGTCAGCATAATCCGCATCGGCATCCTTGACATTAGCGTACGGTGCGTGAATCTTAATGCAGATGTGTTCCTCGGTTTGCTCAATGCTAAACACCGGAGTTAACATCCTGAAAAACTGAAAAAAAAAGTGCTTAACTAGTGCTGTTTGCTCCCACTCACTGTCATTCAGACATTTTAATCCACCACTGTCACATAATGATTTATTGCTTTTTGTTAAAAATTGCGTAAGGAGCTGCAAATACTCAGACACAGACCACTGGATGCGAGTAGGAGTGGGAATCATCAGTACAGTTTGATACAGAAACTTGAAAATGTAAGGGACAGGGGGGAGGGCAGTTTTGACTGTTCCGCCTCGCTTCGAAAAAATCCAGGATCCGGCAC